ATTGTTTTATTATCTTTTTTACTATACAGAGTTTTCCCGGTTCTATTTATAAAATAACAAAAACTATAAATAATTTATAAAAAATGTCAAAGAAAAAGATTCTTAGCTTATCCAAAATAAAATAAAACGTTTTTTGAAAGAAAAAGTAAACAACCTTAGTGTTATGAAGAAAATTGAATGGCTTATTTCTATTGTTTGAAATAACCAAAAATTAATTCACAAAGCTTCAATTATTTTGTTTTTATAACAGCACAAATACAACTTCTTTGTACATAGACAGGATTTCCTTTAGCCATAATAGACAAGTTGTTCCTCATACAAGCCAACTCGTCTCACAATTTGGCTTGTGTATTCGGAGTTGTTAAAATACCAGCTTACTGAATACTTTGACAATTGAAATCAATTGACGCCAATTTCGCAGTAACCGAAGACTTGAATTGATTTTTGGATGAGAGAACATAGTGATAGTGATGGCAGATCACGACAAGTTCTAAGAGAACAAGGAGAGCTGAGAGAGCATATTTGTGTTTCCATTGCTCGTCATACCAAAAAGGTGTTGGGAGCATTAGAGAGCAAAGCAACAAAAACGTCATTATTGCATCATATAAGCGTTCTGGTGTTGTTGGAGTCAATATTGGCAAGATTAAAAGAATGTTCGTTTCTATAAAAGAGGCTTCCAGATTGTTATTGGAAGCCAATGGTGTTTATACCAGAGAACACTTGGAATTGTTTGTTCTTCCGCCTAGACCAACATATTTGGTCAAATCAGAAGAGGAAAGTTTGCCTTGGAATATCCAAGAGTTGCCAACAACGAGAGCCATATCAAACATAAAGACTAACGCCTACCGATGACTTTATTGAGAACTAACAACTAACAAACACCCAAGTCTTTTTAATACAATTTCAAGTTTCGACTTTATGCTAAGGATGAACCAATACTTTTATGGTTTATAAACTATAACTTATAAGTCAAGGTTGTGTTTTTAAATAGAACATTAAAAATAGTTTTTATTTAAATATAGTAAATAAACCATTAAAAGTATAGGTCAAGCCCCTCACTCCCCCTACTGTAACAATTTCAAAAGGATTAATAATAAGCAAAAGAAAATGAAAATTAATTATTTAAACAATCAATATTTACTATATATTTTGATTAATTTAATTGGATTTTGATTGTTTTAATATTTGATGAGGCAAATTGATATTTAGTAAATGTAAAACAACTTTCTAAATTAATTACAGTGGTATTCACTTTAGATCCTTTACCCGGCATTTTAAATAATTTTTTATGCATTTTAATAAAACTGTTTTTATAATTTTTATTAATTCGGAAATTATAATAAATTGTATTAACACTTTAAATAAAACAAACGGAAAAAGAGAAAAAAAGACCGGAAACAAAATAATTCGAGTTTTACAAATAAATCAAACGGCACGAAAATAAATCAGTCGGAACATTAATAAATACATTTTGCATTTATAATTAATTCACTTATTTTTTAATTATTTCATCACCAAATCAATTATAGTAAATTTTTATTTAAATAATTATAACAAAACAATGAATAATTGTTTGTTTATTGAACTTAAAATATCTTTAACAAAAAGCCAACAATAAGAAATTATAAATCTTCTCTTGCAAAAGCTCGTCGCCATATTTCATTTCTGCACCGCTGCATTGACGCGTTGATTTCAGGTGCTTGAATTTCTTCAAATGATTTTTTTATTTTTTCAATCATGTCTTGAAGATTTTCCCAATTTCTGATCCTTTCCTCGGTTCTTCGCTTCCAAAAACCGAAAACATTCTCAATAGGATTGAGTTCGGGTGAATATGCTGCATTGAAAACGATACAATGTTGGGTACCGTTAACTATAGCTGAAATATCATTATGAATTGAACAGTTATCACACCAGAATACGACTCGTATCTTTGCTTCATCATAAACCGACATGAGTCTTTTGAAATAACTATTAAATATTTCTTTGTCGTTACTCCCACACACAAGGTTACAGTGACCTATACCACTACTATCAATAGCTGCAGTGGAAGTTAGCCTCATTCCCTTTTTCAGTTTAGTTAAAAAACACTTCTTACCCACTGGAGACCATCCATAAACAGAAGTACAGGCAATTGTCCAGGCAGTCTCGTCTATGCACACCCAAGTATAACCCGCGTTAATTTTATCATTTAGTTCTTGAATCGCGGTTATACGTCTTGTTTTATTGTCTTCGCTGTTGGCTGCTGCTCCTCTATTTGTTGCTCTTTTGAATGATAGTGTTCCCAAATCTCCAGCATCTCCATTTATGATTTTACCTTTTATCATTCTCAAAAATGAAGCGTCCGAAGGCACTAACTGTTCCGCTCCTTTTACTTTTTCTTTAAACAACTCTGCTGTCTCAAAATTATCTTCAATATTTTTTATTTTTTGAGACAGGTTGTCTAGTATTTCGGTATCCAAAGTTTCAACAACATTGATGTCTTGTATATTACCAACAACAAGCACTTCAACCATTTTGCGTCTCATTTTTGCGATAGAGTCGGTTGGATTATTTTTAAGAGCAGCCCCGACAAGCTTTTGAAAGGGAGTGGTGCGGCTCTTTCTGCAATAATGATTAACAGGGTAAATACTTTCACCTTTAATCAATTTGTTAACAAGATATTTGCAATGTCTATGGGTATACCAAGATCAAGTGAGAACTGCATCGGGTCAATGGTTGTTGCTGTTCTAAATGCCTTGACCAATTCCTGTTTCGTCTTTAAAGATACGGTTCTGTATGGTTTTTTCTTGTTGTCATCTTTTTCTTCAATTGTTTTCGGGGGTCTTCCTCTTCTTTTCTTTGTGTTGTCAGGTGGGAAAAAAGGTTCAATGTGTAGAGCCTCTAAAGGAACACCTTGTTGTGGTTCGGGAGCATTTTCAAGGTAATCTGAGCGACTCCCGGGGTCAGTAGCATCAATGAATTTTAAAGAAGAGTGGTTCATGTGTTATTTCAAGTTACGATAATCAAAATATGAAACATTATAATTATTTAAATAAAAATTTACTATAATTGATTTGGTGATGAAATAATTAAAAAATAAGTGAATTAATTATAAATGCAAAATGTATTTATTAATGTTCCGACTGATTTATTTTCGTGCCGTTTGATTTATTTGTAAAACTCGAATTATTTTGTTTCCGGTCTTTTTTTCTCTTTTTCCGTTTGTTTTATTTAAAGTGTTAATACTATTTATTATAATTTCCGAATTAATAAAAATTATAAAAACAGTTTTATTAAAATGCATAAAAAATTATTTAAAATGCCGGGTAAAGGATCTAAAGTGAATACCACTGTAATATATTATCAGAATTGTTTTTTGTGTTTTTTTACAATAATTTCTGTTTTCAAGGTTTGTAGAATAATCCAATTGCAACAAACAAAACAAAACATTTTAAAGATTAATTTAAATATATTGAAACCTTTTTAATTAAATTTAATAGTAAAATAATCCATATCAGATTTTTAACAACACACAAATAATTATTAAATTATTATATAATTATAAATTAACACAAATAATACACATGTTTTACTAAGAATTATAATTAAATAAATCATAATATAGTTGAACTACAAAAATATAACAACTTTATTTGTACGTTATTAATAATATTATTAAATAAAATTTGAAATAATTATATGTTATTAATTAAATATTATTAACATTGTTTACTAAGTCATTTTTAATGTAAAATAATAGTTTGATAATACAAACGAAAACAATGAATAAATTTAATACACAATATTGGTAGTAAAAATTTCAACCAAACCAAAAACAAATAATTATCATTTTTTTCATAATGTATTATAAATGAAAAGATAAAAGGTTTATTATATTAGTTTTAACTTTAATTATAATTTATTTTTCAAAACAAGATATAAAATGTCCGTTATATTTTTTGTTTGAATATGATTGATTATTAATTTGTTGTTTTGTTTATTTGATTGTCATTCTAATATATTATAATTACGATTTTTCATCATAACAATAAACATAAAAATGATAAAATGTCGATTTTATTTAATTTATGATATAATCTTCAATTAAATTAAATCAACACGACATACCATATAATATTTAATAAAGTTATTATACATGATTAATATGACAACAATTATTGTTATTTGTAATTAAAAACCATCACACATTTACTATAAAATAATGTTAAATATTTTATTTGCTCTTTTTAACGTTATATTTGATAAATTACAATACAAACTGAAAGCATACATTTTTTAAAATAATAAACTTTAAAACATTTTCAAACTAAGTAAGTTATACATGAAATGATATTGTAAAACCCGTTATTTATAACCATTTGAATTTTGTATTTAAGAAATAAAATCATAAACATTTAACAAGAAGCCGGAAAAAACAATACCAAATTTTTCGAAATGGGTTGAATCGTTGGTACCGATTGTAATGTTTATAATGAAGACGCTAGTGGTGGTCTGAAATATACCAAAAATGAATTGTCT